TCAGGAAGGGATGAAAGAAGAAAGGAGGCACATTGGAAATAACCACAACTCCAGTTCCTGGCTCCCAGGAGCCTAAGGTGATATAATGCCTGATAGGCCCGTTTTTATCCTCTAGGACTGTAGTCTATATCTACAGTAGCTTGGCTGCAAAGCTTTGTTCTTCTAATTAAGATTTTTACAAATGACCTCCTAAAGTACACTGAACAGCTTTTGAGCCATTCTCTTTTAAAGAGCAAAATCAAACAACAAAATAGCAGATCCACATATACCGTAGTCTACTAAATAGATGTTATGTAACTGAAATTTACAAGAACAGACAACTGAGATATTTACTAATATAAAATCAACCTCTCTTCATGATGATTAATGACATTTGAGAAGCAGATGTCTTTGAGGATGCTTTTTAAGGGCATACATATAGTATAGTGGGATTCGGCTTAACCCACTTCACGAAGCCAGTTTCTGACTATAGGATGAAGACGCTAGGACCCCCATAAAGAAGAATGATTCAATCGCAGGGGTGCTGTGAAAAGTGGAGATGGAGTGGAGGGGGGATGTGTCCGACGAATGTGAAATGACAGTTTACCTAATGAATTAACATCTTTTGGGAAAGTAGTGGGAAAAGCTGTTGCTGCGTTGAAATTTTGCAACGGAAGAAACTGATCTCAAATTGTACCGCTTAGCAAATACATAAGCTACCTCAGTATTGTTCTTCCCTACGTACCACCATACTTAATGACAATAAGGCTTCCTTTTTCTAAAAAAAAGTAGAAGTTCCCTTTTTGGGGACTGTTGGCAAACACACAGCACTTCCTGCTGCATGGTGCCTGTCTGAGAGGGGCTGATCGCTGGAGAGAAACCTCCTTCTTGGAGGTTAGACACTGACTTGAGCAAATCTCCTCACTCATTTTCCCAATTCAATCTCTAGCTCCTTAGAACATTTTTAGTTCTAGAATTCCTGTTTACCCCCATTTAGGGGATTGGTATGGACTAAATCCCCTGGAATAAACTCATGTGGAAAGGTAATTTTGACACACCTGTAGCTCTGTGTCCATTTGAAGAAAGTCTAGTCTCTGCATTTATGCAGAGGAAATGACAAAGTATATGTGAGATTTATCTCTGACATTGTAGGTTGTTGTTTTTCCCCATAATTTTGGAATTAAAGTTTGTCATTTACAGCAGTAGAAATATTCACAAAATCACAGCAGACAAAGTATGCCTGTTCTCCTATTGTCCATCATGATAAATTCAAGTTCATTTGTCAGTCCAGCCATATACAAGTACACAGAGGAGTGAGATATCGTTCTTCAGGTCTACAGTGCACATACAGACAGACACTGACAAGGCAATGCTATAGACAATGTAGACAGGGTACAGGGTACATAAAGTGCAATGTACATAGTGCAATTTACTTTACAAGACTGTGCATAGAATTGTGCAAAGAATACATCAGACAGTATGCCTGACATTTGGCAAAAAAGAATACTGCGATACTTTTACCAGATGGTAGGAGGGCAAAGAGGTTGCAGGAAGGGTGGGAGGGATTGTCCACAATACTGGAGGCTTTGTGTGTGCAACGTTTAAGTTTATGCCCTGAATGGATGGAAGGGAGGCTCCAAAAACAACTTACAGGTAGTTCTTTTTACATTGGAGAAACACAGAGATTCACAGTTCGGCAGATATTTTAATAAGAATGAGTCTTTCCTCATTCTATGATTGTAATTACACTGTGATCTTCCAGGCCTCTCTACCTTATGCTTCTGTTCCTGCATGTCTGGCTACACCTAGTGGGGTAAAGTTGACAACACGCCACATGAATAATCTTTTCTACCTCTGGGACAAACAGAGGGACTGGCTTGATCTTTTTTTATTACTGGTTTCATGCAAACTTCAGGCAGCGATTACTGTATCGGTACAGTTTCGGTAATCCTGTGTTGCAGCAGATTAAGTTATTTCTTGCAACAGCATTTGCGACAATATTGATTTTGCCAGCACAATGATTCTAATCATTGAGTGGTCTACTGTAGTAAGATATAATTCAATTCAACTTTATTGTCATTAAACTTACACAGGTGCATAGTATAACGAAAAGTGTTTCTCATTAGTCACTCAGGTGCATTATATAAATAGGACAGAAGATAAGACAATAGACAGTAACACAATAGCAATAACAGTAACATGTAATAACATAACATAAATAACATGTAATCAAGTAATCAAAACTGTGCAAAATATAACAGGACAAAAACAGTGCAAGGTAATTCTTGGAACAGTGCAAAAATAGTATGGTTAATTAATAAATATTAAATATTATTACGACCGGTACAGTTTTACTGGGCTATCGAGGGGACAGTACAATTTCGGCTTACATGTGTGTGTAGTGGTGTAGGAGTAAAGTCATTGTGGGTACAGGAAGGCATTAGGAGAGATCATAATATGGTGGAAGGGAGTGGGGCCGTCACCAACTTGACAACTCTGGGGAAGAAGCTATTTTGGAGTCTAGTTGTGTGCGACTGGAGTGACCGGAACCTTCTGCCAGATGGTAGGGGAACCAACAAGTTATGACTGGGGTGAGTGGGGTCAGACATACTTTTGGTGGCTTTTTTCAGACTCCTGGTGTTGTATATTTCCTGGATGGATGGTAAGGCACTGCTGATGATGTTTTGGGCAGTTTTGACCACCCGCTGTAATGCCTTACGGTCTGATGCAGTGCAGTTGCCGTGCCAGACTGTGATGCAGGTGGTCAGTATGCTCTCCACCGTACACCTGTAGAAGTTGATGAGGATCTGTGGATGTAGGTGTATTTTCTTCAGTAGGAAGTACAGCCGCTGTTGTGCCTACTTGATGAGACTGGAGGTGTTCAGTGTCCATGTAAGGTCCTTAGAGATGTGAACACCTAGGAATTTGAAGTTATTCACCATCTCCACTGCAGACCCTTCTATGTAGATGGGGGAGTGAACTTTTCCTTGTCTTCTGAAGTCAACAATCAGCTCTTTGGTTTTGCTGATGTTGAGACATAGGTTGTTGGTTCGGCACCAGTCTGCAAGTTGTTTTATCTCCTCCCTGTAGGCAGTCTCATCATTGTCAGTGATCAGGCCCACGACTGTGGTATCGTCAGCATACTTGATGATGGTTTCTGTGCTGAACTTGGCAGTACAGTTGTGGTATATTAGTGTACTTCACTAATTTTACTCCTCAAATTCACTATCATATCAAACTTGTTGGTAGCTCTAGGATGGCGAAAAATGTATTTCTATTATATACACACCAACATCCGAAAGTGCAAAGGGTACTACTGACTAATTACAGCAGATACTGTATGTAAAGTTTAGACAGGAGTTAATTATAACTTTTTCAAATAGTATTAACCTTCCTTTTATGTAATTAATTGTGTAACATACTGTATAATACCAAAGTGTAAAAGGTGCTGCGCTTTGAACATGATAAGGCAGATCAGTACATGCATTAATGTATCATTAAAGATCCCATGGCATTGTCTGTAAGAGCAGGTGTGTTAACCTTAGTGTCCTGACTAAGGTACATGCTGGGCTTGCACAGTCCTCCCTTATGTTATCTGGTGAAGAGATTTTTTGTTTAACTGCTTGAACTGATGCACAGTGTGGCTCCTGGTGCACAATACTGTACCTGTCTCTTGTCTCCCAGGTGAGGAGTTGTCTAAAAGTAAAGTTTTTTTGGCATCCTTTGAGATGGATAGTGCTGTATGCATGCATATTATTTTTTACTAATGCTAGCTGATTAGAAGGGTGGCTTGGTGGTGCAGTGGTTACCATTGCTGCCTCACTAAGCTGTGGTCCTAGGTTCAATTCTGGTCCCATGGTGCTATCTGTGTGGAGTTTGTATGTTATCTTTGTGTGGGTCTTCTCCAAAGGCATACTGATAGGTTAATTGATGTCTCCCTGCTATTTGGTCCATGGAGGTGATTTAATTGCTGATAGCTATGCTAATTGATAGAAGGATCTCATAGAGTGATTTCTTGAATGAAGCCTTAGTACCAGGTTCAATAACAGGTCTGGTTTGCCAGTTCGCACTCCCACAACTCTTTGTGTAAAAAAGCATGTTCATGTTATCAGTTTTAAAAGCACTTCTCTGCAGTGAATTCTTGACTAAGTAAGCAAAAAGTAGATCAGTTAATTGGAGCTCAATTAACAAGAGCACACTGACACTGAAATCCAGGCTTAGGCCTTGAATTTATTATCTATTCTTGGCATCTGAAATCTACATAGAAAGGTACTGTAAACAATTTTAAAATCATGATTTGTTAATGACCACCATTACTGAGTGGTTAAAAGAGCAATAAAGAGATCTAAGATCACGGAACTGAAGTAGAAATGGGCTGTTTCCATTGAGGTGCAGGATAAAAATGGTTGGCACATACCTGAGTTATAAATGTCTTTCGCCTAAGTTATTAGGAATTCATTTCTGGTTTCTAAAAAATGTAAAAACAATCTTTAAAAGAAAGTTCTATGTTTGAATTGTAATGTTTTACTAATTACAGACCTTTCCTTATTATTTTTTAGACAGATTTTTAAGAAAAAGAAAAAAACAGTAAAAAATCTTGCATGATATAGTCTATTGAAAGTTATGTTTCGTTCAGCCAATTTGAAATACAGCACTTCTGAGCACAGTAATTCTTAGTGGCATTATATCAAACTAGTATAAACTAGTGAACTAGTGAATGTTACTGTATACAATAAATTGCATCATTCTTCAATATTTCTTTAGTGCAACCTAATCATTTACATCTGAACATAACTGGCGCCCTTGATTTTAAATAATATTGCACATTAATGAAAATGAATATGAACAGAGGGATCTGCACGCTGTAAATATGTTTTAGAAATGTTCAACATATAAAATAATTGAATCATTAAACGCCTATCTGAATATACATACACAGAATCGGCCTTTCACATATACTAATGTTTTAAATCTGTTTTTTCCGCTTGTGGGTTTCCTCAGTCGTGTGCGCGCTGCGCGCCCCCGGAGCGCTGCCTCATTGGCCGTGTTGGTGTCGCGCGCGCTCCCCGTGTTTGTGGCGAGTGGCATTGCACCATCTGTGAGCTAACGGCGTGCCACCTTTCTCCTAAATCATGAGGTTGTCTACCGTATTTCGAAGTGCCTACAGGAGTTTTCCTACTGGATCGGTCAGCCGATCCCGGTCCGGGATAAGGGCTTTGGGGTCTGAGAGGAGATCTGCGCCCCTAGGGAGCTACAGCTTTCTCCCCATCAGGGATGTGAGCTCCGACGGGAGCGGCTCGGCTGGACCGGCAGTGCGCCTCGGGAACCGCCGGGACCACACTGGGAGCCCGGGGGATGAAGCAGCCATCAGGTGAGTTCCTCCATTGATCATCTTCTGCGTTGCGGTGTGGATCTTCATTGTCTACAGAGGGGCTGACGCTAAAGGTATTTCCTGATTACCACGAGAAAGGCGGCGCTTCTCTTTCAATTGTGTTCATTTTTAAGTTTCATATATAATCAGAAACGGTAACATTGCGCGGGTTGGGACTTGGCGATAGCGGACAAGGTCGTCTTTAACCCTTTATAATGTACAATTCTTTCTGATAGACTTTTCTGTAACTTTATTTCGGACTAGCCCGGCACTAGCCCAGAGCCCCACGTGTCATTAGTTTACTCCGGGGGAACCAGCTGATGTAATTCAGCGCTATTCTTGCTTATTCCACACGGGGGCTGTGAGCCTGTTTCTGTTCTGCAGTCCATTAGGTCCAGTCCTGTACAGAATAAATAATACATCTGCCTTCATGGGGACGTTTTATTTGACAGTGCGGTAAGTCGATAAGTCGATAAGTCGTGGTAGTACCATTCATTAAAACAATAGGACGAAATGTGTTTTGTTTTCTCCAATACACTAAACCACTATCCGAGCCAGGATTTTTTTCCATGGGTTTGACTGGCTCTGGCCGTTCTCCAGAGACATTTTAGGGCAACGTGCAAATCATCACGATGGTGCTTACTCTCTGCTGGTTTTGGAACAGCAAGGTCTGGCTGGCATGTCTGGTGAAAAAAAACTCAATTAAACAGGATCACAGCTCAGCAGTCCTTAGGATATACAGTTTACTTTATACTTGTTATAAGGGAAGTATAAATTCCAATTGTGTCATGCTTTCTTAATGGCAAAATAATTAATTGTAACTTCAATTATTAACCCCTTAAATCATCTATCAGTTCAGTGTACAGATGTGCTCTCAAAGTAAGGAGAAATTCAGATGGTTGTGACTTCCTTCTTAAATCATATGTTAAAAAAGGATACAAGAGAACAGGGAAGGGCAGTCCTGGTCCCAGAGGGTCAAGAGAGGGTCAAAATCTCTGAAATAAAATTGATTTAAACTGGAATTTTGTGTTCAGCTTGGTGTAGCTTTGTTTTTCACCACTTCATAATATTGGAATGGCTGTAAGAGTTTCACGTGCTTTGAATTAGGAATTAGTGGAATATTGGAAACTAATTGCACAGATGCTCTTCAGTTCTCGATTTGTAGAGTCATACTAATAGAATTAGGGAAACCATTTTTTCTTGATGGAATTACATTTTTCTTGACCACCGTGGCTCATTCATATAGATGGATGAAAAATGGATGTCTTTCAGTATAATGCTTATCCCCTGCCTTGTAAATATATAGAAAACATGTACAGAAAATCCAGGAATAAGCTGTAAATCACATTACACCACATCTTAAGTAATGTTTAAATGACTGATTAGCGTGTGGTTCTGTGCTGTCAGACAAAGTGAATCATTGCTTCTTCAGGCCAGGAAAGATAATTTATAAAAAATATTTCTTGTATTCAAGGTGTTTCTAAATTATGTCTAGAGATAAAACATTTGTTTTTAAAAATTGAATATTTATAATGTTTTTGATGGCAAGAGTATTTTAAAGACTACAGAATTTAGACAGTTTTGAAGTTCTATAAAGTCAGGCGAAGACTGTGAAACATTTTAAAAACCATTAATATCTGTTTGAGCTTGGGGAAAACCATCATTAAGAAGTGGAAGACACACAGTTACAGCCTAGACAAGGCAATCCCCCTAAACTGAGCAGCTGGGCAAAGAAAAAGCTTGTGACGCCAATGATGACTTTGCTCTTTGACTTTTGATCAATTTTAGGGGACTTTTACAGAGCTTGGTCTTCAGCCTAGACCTCCAATTGATTCTTTTTTTGTAGCAATAATTTGGCAAAGGCCTTGCTTATATTCCTCTCAGATGTGTTCTTCTACTGATGTTGTAATTTAACATGTTCATCTTTTGCAGGATGGAAACCCAATGTTTTGCCATGGTCGTTAATGAATTCTTGACCAGACAAGGGTTTCATACTGTAGCCATCAAGTTGTCCTAGTGGCACACATCAATGTCCTTACCTTCCATTGAGCTAAAGGGTGGAATTGAATTAGCCTTTATTGCCCCCAAGGGAATTTGTCTTGCACATCAAGAGCTCATAGCATATATAGTAACATATATACATAACATATACAAAGCTGATCAAAACATTTGTGTTATCTCAAATTGATTACTGTAATGCTCTAATCGCTGGGGTATCTGAATCTACTCTGAACAAACTGCAGTATGTCCAAAATTCAGCAGCCAGAATCCTGACCAGGTCTAGTGCAAGTGTTCACATTACTCCTATCCTGGAGTCCTTGCACTGGCTTCCGGTCAAATTCCGTGTAGACTTTAAAATCCTCATGCTCACCTATAAGGCTCTGCATGGCTTGGCACCCTAGTACCTGTCTGAACTATTATCGCCCTACTCCCCACCTCGCAACCTTCGCTCTTCTAATTCTGCTCTCCTAACTGCCCCCCAAGCCCATCTACATTGTATGGGTGACAGGGCCTTCTCCTGTTATGCCCTCAAGTTCTGGAACTCTCTCCCCAAGGATATCAGAGAGTCACCTTCTCTAAACTCCTTCACATCCAGACT